CGACTCGGTGTTAATGAAGGAAAGTCTTTAACATATGCTCCTAATCTCTCTCGTTCCTGTCGCAAGCGTTGTCCCGATTGATATGCAGAGCATGCATTTTCATTTCTTTCACGTTCTCGTCGTGCACGTTGAGCTAATACAGCTCTTGATATAACATAACCATTGGGTCCCTAAAATATGAATATTAAATCGTTGAATGCTTAAAATGCAAATATTATCAAGTACCATTTTCCACTGTCCAAAGAAAATACCAAGAATTTAGAGAAAATGTATTATATTCTTGCCCATGACTACCCATAGTTTTATAATAATAATAATAATAATAATAAATTGTGTGGTTTTGTAACAGTAATGAACAAATGTTCGATTAGCAGATGAGCTTCATAAAGTATCCCCATTTTCTTGTAGGGCCCATGCACTTACAGGAGACACTATATATTCCTTTCTCACTATATATTCCTTCATAAAGTATCCTCTATATATTTCTTTCTTCCTAAGAATATACAGGAGACACCAAAAAATGTGTATAGTTTCAAAAATAAAATACAATTATGGCTAAATAAAATACAATATATGAAGATATAAAAATAAAAACTAAAAAAAACTGTACAAAATCAATAACAACCATACCGCTAAACATGCATTTTCCTTTCGCTTGCCCTTGTAATCAGTGGCCCTTAATTTAACGGATTGTGTCATTTTAGTCCAATACATAACGATTATTGACACATTGTGTAAACTACATGGACCAAACTTACATATTGTGTAGACTTTCCATCTACCAAACTTGACAACCGTTATTTATTGGACTAAAATGACACAATCTGTTAAATTAAGGGGCAAAATCGAGCAAATTGAAACAAATTTGAATAGCACTTCTCTATATTTACCCAATAAATTTATTATTATTATTTTTTTAAAATTTGAATAGCACTTCTCTATATTTATAGATGTAAAATAAGCTGTCAAAATGATACCTCTCACAAGGGAACTAAAAATAAAAATAAAAAATAGCATAATTTCATACTTTTTGAGTTATAACTATACATAAAAATAAAAAAACATCAAAATCAAACAAAGAAATTTTTTGTAAAGAAGGTCATTACTAAAGAAGAAAATTGGTCATAACTAAAAAAAAAATGACATAACTCAAAATTGTCATTTATAATCTATAAAATAAATTGTATGGTTTTGTTATACAAACAAACAAATGTTCAGCCAACTTATGAACTTCATAAAGTATCACCATTCACATAGCTGGAAAAAAAAAAAAAAAAAAAAATTTGCCCATTTTCTCTCTCCTCTCTTTATCTCTTATCTCAAAACTTTCGCCCACTTACATTGAAAAGTGGTGCAGATTTACACATATATACAGGAGACACTTAAAAAAGTGTACAGTTTAAACCATGAAAATACAATTATGGTTTAAAATAAATAATTATACATGCATTTTCAAAAACACTCTACAATTATGGCTTAAAATACAAACATAGGAAAACTAACAATTTAAAAAAAAAAACACTTTACAAAAACCATTAAGAACTATACCGTTGGACATGCATTTTCCTTTCCCTTGCCCTTGGAAGCATAAGACACCTTTTCTTTTCCTTTCAACATTGCCTTTGCATTTTCCTTTTCCATTGCCTTTAAAAAATAACCAAAGTCTAAGAAATAACCAAAGTATAAGAAATAAAAATAAATAAATAAAAAATGATAAGAAAGTGATTTTTGGGCTGACATTAGAAATACGAACGACATTGAAATCATGCTCATCACGAATCACTACACCGATATTTCTTTGTTGAAGAAACTGAACCTATACATACAAAAACAAATAAGTAGCTGATATGTACACAAAATGAAATTTTATAAGACGATAAGTAAAGGGAACGAATATTACAGTTCGTTGTAAGTCTCCATCTAGCTGTAAAAAATGAGGAAAGTTTTTTAATCAGTTTATAATCAGAACATATAATACAAAAGTTTATAAAAAAATCAGTTTATAATACAAAAGTTTATAAAAAATGAGGAAAGTTTTTTAATCAGAACCTATAAGACGATGAGTAAAGAGAACGAATATTACAGTTTATAATCAGAACCTATAATATAAAAGTTTTTTTAAAATCTATGTACCAGCTTTTTTAAAAAAGACAACTTACATTATCCATAATGTTAGAGGTCGTTCCAACTTAATATTGCCAAAACCTGTAATACAAAAGTTGACTTCAGTAAGTACATATTAATCCAGTAATACATAATACAAAAGTTAACCTGTAAAGGTTTTGGAATACATAACTTATGTAAATACAAAAGTTATTTTAATTCACCAAGTGAAACCAAATGAAGCAATCAATCGATACTTAAATGGAATCAAACCTATCGATGGCTTAAGCTTTGTTGAATTAAAAGAGGTTTAAATGGAACTGCAAAATTTATAAAGTTAATTCATATGACAAACTAATAAAAAATCATCAATCATTTGGAAATCCACAATTAATTCATATGATAAAATATCTCATTCAAGGAATTAATAAAAAATCACACTGGATTAAAAAATCACACATATGACAAACTAATAACCCAACAATCATTTTCCGCCACCAAAAGGAGTTGTGTTTCCAAGAATGTATTTAAGCTTTGTTGAATTTAATTGAACTAAAAGAGGTTTAAATGGAACTGCAAAATTTATAAAGTTAATGCATATGACAAACTAATAAAAAATCATCAATCATTTTGAAATCCACAGTTAATTCATATGATAAAATATCTCATTCAAGGAATTAATAAAAAATCACACTGGAAAAAAAAATCACACATATGACAAACTAATAACCCAACAATCATTTTTCGCCACCAAAAGGAGTTGTGTTTCCAAGTTTTTTTTTATTGAAATTAACAAATAACAAAAGATTTACAATAAATCCACAGTTTGAAAATAATAATTTAACTCCAAACATTTTCAGGTATTGGTAACACAATCTGAATCCAAACAACATCAAAAGAAAATAGTAATGAATCTTACTAATGAATCTTACAAATTAATAAATATTAAAATTGTCCAACATGCCACATCATCCCAACTTGGCAAAGGGTGCAAATGAGTAGAAACATGTGTAGTAGTAAAGTCAACAAATATATATTGTTGCACCTGAAGTGGACAAACTCAATCTCACAATTTCAGAAGCTATGAAATTATCCTCTGTAATTTAATAAAGTCAAACTCAACCACCCCAATCTCACAATTTCAGAAGCCATGAAATTATCCTCTATTTTTTTCAATAATCAAGCACCCAGAAAATCCAAAAACCAACAAAGTAAGGACCAAAAAAAGTCAAAAAAATCGGCATATTTGACTATCAAAGGGGGTGTTTGGGAAGAAAAAAAATAGCCTAGTTTAGGCTAAAAATCACAAAAAGACAAAATAGGCTAAAATAGCTAATAAGACAAAATATCACATCAAACCCATAATTATTTCACTTTTTCTCTTACAAACATCACATCCAACCACAAAAAAATCCAATCATCTTCCCAAACACAAAAAATTTAGCCTACTAAAATAGCCAAAAACTAAAATAGCCTACTAAAATAGCCACTTCCCAAACGAGGCCAAAGCCTATTGAAAGTTTTTTCAATGGCTCCTACATTATTGTTAGGAATTAAACATATTGATAGCTTAAGCTCTACTGAATTGTATTGAGCTCATTCAAAAATTAATAAAAAATCACATAGATAAACAATTTATCAAAAATCACATAGATAAAATCACATAGAAACTAATACCCCACAAATAATTTTCCGCCACCAAAATGAGTTAAACAATTTAAACAATTTATCAAAATGAGTTGTGTTTCCAACGGAAACTATCAATAAAACACATCAATCACTTAGTACTTTGCTTCCAAGAATCTATTTATTAAAATTAACAAATAACAAAAGCTTTGCACATCTACATAGTTTTAAAATAATAATTTCACTCCAAACATTAAATAAATAAAAAATGTATGAGGACATTTTCAGGGATTGGTAACACAATTTGACTCCAAACAACAGCAAAAGAAAATATTAATGAATGTTACCATTTTTCTTAGCAAAAGGTGCAAATGAGTAGACATATATGTATTAGCAAAGGGTGAAAATATATACTTTTGCAAAACAAAACAAAGTGAACCACTAAAGTCAACCTCTAAAGTCAAAAAGCCAACAAATTATTTCATAAAAAATAATTTATCCACCAGGTGGTCAACCACTAAAATGTCTCCAAGATATACCTAAGCTAACTTTTTTTTTCACAAAAGATAGATATGATAAAGGAATATAACCTTAAAAGATATAAGAATTGACTTTCCAAGATTGTTTCATTTTTGTGAGAAAATACAAAAAAGAAGCGGAAAAGATAAAAAATAAATTGGTTTACTTAATTTTTTTTTTCTTCCATAACCTTAATTTATTTTGTGCTTCCTCAATTTAAGAAAAGTTATGATACACTGCTTTAGGCATTGAAACCATATAAATCCCCAAACATAGGAAAACGTCTTAACCATGAACAACAATAAATAAAGCCAATCCCAAAAGATATGTTATATTTACCATAAGTCTTAATGGCACTTCCAAACACAATCAGACTCAAATCAAATAGGATAACGAAGCTAATTAATTTTAGAACTTGAGATCCAACTGATGCTATCTAAGACCTGGAACACATCTTACAGAAAAGGTAAAAACTGAAACACATCTAAGACATGAAACCAATACAATGTATACAAACCAAACTGTTTTAAAAATAAAAAATAAAAATGTAGTGATACTGTACGATTTCCTGAGCTGATAAATAAAATAAAATAAAAGATTCTCTAGGTTTATAACCAAATAGGATAGAATATTTTCCAAATCCTTAGAAACACAAACACATATGGAGGCCATTATCGGCCAAAAACAATCCTTTATTGGCAAAAAAACAATCCGATTTATTGATTAATCCCCAAAAACTGTTTGACAAAAAAATTTTGGATTTATTAAAGCTTGAACAGTATATAATACCACAAATTCAAATCAAAGTATGAATTTAAGAAATCAAACAGTACGATACCACAGTATGAATTTAAAAAATTAACTCATGAATTCTATAAGGGCCTTTTCATTGAAATAGAAAAATACAAAATGTGGTTTAGATTTCCATACTTACCACAAACTAATAAAATTTAACTCCTAGTAAAATTAATAAAATTCAAACTAATAATAGATTAATTTAAGTCCAAATAGATTAATTTTACAAACTAAAAGATTGTCCATTTACAAACTAATTTAAGTCCATTTAGGGCATGTGTTTTATGCAATAAACATGTGTTATCAAAATGCTATACAAACTAATAAACATGTGTTTTATGCAATAAATAAAACTCAAACAAAGGCCTTGTTTGATTAACAGGTTAATAAAATAGTACCACTAATACTACCAATCAAACATGCCCTAAATGTCATTCAAGGAGAAAAGAAAAACAAAAACAAAAACAAAAACAAAGATTAATTTAACTCCTATCTATATTGGTTAAATTTGAAACATTAGATAAAAAGTCAAAAACTAATACAAAAAATAAACACATTTAACACAAAAAAAACATGCCCTAAGAGGCAGAGGAAGGTATATTTATTTTCTTCTTCCAATTTTTCATTTTGTTTATTAAAAAAAAAACGCCCTAAAAATACGAAATGTGGTTTAGATTTCCATACTTACCACATCTGTAAAATTAATTTAACAGGTTAATAAAATAGTAAAATTCAAACTAATAATCAAACATGCCCTAAGTGTCATTCAAGGAGAAAAGAAAAAAAAAACAAAAACAAAAACAAAAACAAAGATTAATTTAACTCCTATCTAAACATTAGATAAAAAGTCAAAAACTAATACAAAAAATAAACACATTCAACACAAAAAACATGCCCTAAGAGGCAGAGGAAGGTATATTTATTTTCTTCTTCCAATTTTTAATTTTGTTTATTTAAAAAAAAAAAAAGCCCTAAAAATACGAAATGTGGTTTAGATTTCCATACTTACCACATCTGTAAAATTAATTTAACTCCTAATAAAATTAATAAAATTCAAACTAATAATGAATTAATTTAAGTCCAAATAGATTAATTTTACAAACTAATAAAATTCAAATGCTATCGAATGTTACAAACTAATAAATTCGAATGTTATCAAAATGCTATACAAACTAATAAACAGGTGTTTTATGCAATAAATAAAACTCAAACTAAGGTCTTGTTTGATTAACAGGTCAATAAAATAGTAACACTAATACTACCAATCAAACATGCCGTAAGTGTCATTCAAGGAGAACAGAAGAAAAAAAAAAAGATTAATTTAACTCCTATCTATATTGGTTAAATTTGAAACATTAGATAAAAAGTCAAAAAATAATACAAAAAATAAATACATTCAACACAAAAAACATGCCCTAAGAGGCGGAGGAAGGTATGTTTATTTTCTTCTTCCAATTTTTCATTTTGTTTATTAAAAAAAATAAAAAATGCCCTTTGTTTGGTTTCCTAGAAAGCAAAAACCCACTTCAATTTGTTAAGTAATTGGCACAGGTTTTGTTAGACATGGCTTCTTAGACTGGCTTCTCAATATATATATACATACTGGAATTATACATAAAGAGGGGGTTTGGGGTTTGGAATCATATATACATACATATTGGAATCATATGTATAGATATATATACATCCATAATCATATATAAAAATAAAAATAAAATATTAATTTGCCTTGTTTGGATATGAAAGGTCTTATGGAAGTCCACAATGCTTCAAACTCAATGCTTCAAACCTGTAGTCAATATTGTTGAAACAAAAGATTATTGAAGATTATTAAAGATATCCAAAGATAGAAATATAAAAATCAAAGTTCAGATTTCCATTTGGCCAATTGTTAGCTACTAATTAATGCTTGGTTGGTTATGTATGAATGCCATTTAATAAATCGTAGAGGTTATTTGTAAATCAAAATTGAATGTTATCAAAATGCTATACAAACTAATAAACGGGTAGTACTTTTGATTAATAAAATAGTACCACTATTACTACTAATCAAACATGTCCTAAGTGTCATTCAAGGAGAAAAGAAAAAAAAAAAAAAGATTAATTTAACTCCTATCTATTTTGGTTAAATTTGTTTGCGAATAGGAAAATTAGCTAAAAAGCCAAAAACTAACACATAAAATCAACTCGTTCTCTCTATTTAAAAAGCTATAAAAAATAAAATTAAATTATAGACTTGTATCACATACATACATACATACATAAAATACAATTATAGACTTGTATCCAAAGATAGAAATATAAATACTAAAGAAAAATCAAAACTCAGTTTTGCATTTTCCCCATTATTTGTAAATCAAATTCAAATGTTATCAAAATGCTATACAAACTAATAAATTCGAATGTTATCAAAATGCTATACAAACTAATAAATTCAAATGTTTTATGCCCATGCCTGAATGCACTATCTAATAAAATTCTTATATTACAATCTTGAAGCCCCAAAAAATATATTCTTGAAGCCCCAATAAATTCAAAAAATATATTCTTGAAGCCCCAAAAAATATATTCTTGAAGCCCCAATAAATTCAAAAAATATATTCTTGAAGCCCCAAACACATTTCTCATGCAAAAAATATATTCTTGAAGCCCCAAAAATATTAGAGTGATTTCAGAATAGCAAATTGATCCCCCAAAAACATTCTCTCTTCTTCTTTTTTCATCTTGTCGCACTCAAATGCCTCTCCAACTCACAGAAAATAATGTAGTGGAATGGAATACATCTATTGATCCTCCATAGTCATTCTATTTTGAGATATTTAGACAGCAAATTTTGTTTCATAAAGTCAAAAAGCCAACAAATAATTTCATAAAAATAGTACCACTTTGATTAACATGTTAATAAAATAGTACCATTAATACTATAAATCAAACATGCCCTAGGTGTCCTTGAAGGAGAAAAGGAAAAAAAAATTAATTAATTTAACTCGTAATAAAATTAATAAAATTCAAACTAATAATAGATTAATTTAACTCCTAATAGATTAATTTTACAAACTAATAAAATTCAAATGTTATAAAAATGCTATACAAACTAATAAATTCTTGAAATACTTATGTGCTTAATAATTAAATTAAATTAAATTATCCAATAATGTGCTTAATAATTAAATTATCCAATAATTAAACTTTACCAAATACTTTAGGAAAATTCTATTATACACATCACTCTTGTGGTATGTACATATTTTCAATCCAGTGAGCCAAACAGTGTCTCATTCCTACCCTAAAACCCATCCCCCGCTCTTGTGGTATGTTTTCAATTTTTTGAGTTTATAAAAACACATGTGTCATTTAATCATTGGTTTTTGTTATAATATTTATGATAATTTTTCTAGCAGTTAAACCTTTGCAATTTAATTTATAAACTAATGTTATAAATATAAATTTTATACCATAACCATAACCATTGAAATTAAAAATAGTAATAATATCATTACATGATTTGAAATCAAAAAATTTAAGTAAATAATACTAATATATTATTGGTCATGACTAAGAGGTTTTAAAAATTAACTTGATTTATGTAAATTAGATTTTGAACTAATCACAAAATGACATATGTATTTTAAGTATTATAAAATTAAAAAATATGAAAAATTTACATTGATAACATTAAATTATAATTCATTCTTAAATTTTAAGAAATTTCAAAATTACCATCGAACCAGTCAAATTAAACCCATTGATAAAAATTTAAAATAATATCTTTATAATTAGTCTAGTTTCTCCTATCTAAATCAATACTTGGGCTAAATATATTCAGAAAATTGATTTATTTATGAAAATTGTATATATATGCATCTATTATATTTATTATTGCAAAATATTATTATGTATCAAACTTATAAAAAATAAAAATAAATAAATAAACCATTCATGTTCTATAGTTTAAAAATAAAAAAATATAAAATATAAAATATAAAATATAAATAAAATAAAATAATAGGTGAATGATCAAACAAAGAAAGCAAACAGAAGCATCTGCCAAAACCAAACCCATAAGAGACCATCCATGTCTGCAGCGAGCAAGATGCCTTGGGGATGCTCTGGCCGAGGTGCGTTCACACACAAATACTTTTCAAACCCATTTCATAAATCAAACCCATTTCGTACATAAATCATCAAACCCATTTCATAAATCAAAACTAAACTATGTTCAACATCAAACATTTCAAACCCATTACAAAAAAGCAAAAACTATGTTCAACACATATACATATATATACATATATATACATCCAAAAATATACATATATATATACATCCAAAAATGCAAATTATATGGCCGGGGACAGAGGGTGTGTGTTCATTTCAAACCCACAAATACACACAAACACAGAGGCTGTGTTTACAGAGGGTGTGTTCACTCACAAATACATTTCAAACCCATTTCATAAATCAAACCCATTTCATAAATCAAACCCATTTCAAACCCATTTCATACATAAATCATCAAACCCATTTCAAACTCATTTCATAAATCAAACCCATTTCAAATTAACCATATCAGATTTATCAAACATTTCAAACCCATTACATACATCTATATACACATATACATATATATACATCCAAAATGCATATATATATACATATATATACATATATATTGGCTTGAGAGAGAGAGAGAGGGGTAACCAGGGACGGTGAAGGTGATGCTCTGGCCGGGGATGACTCCCTTGTTGATGTTCCCCTGTTGACGGCAGAGAGGGAGGGAGGAAGAGAGAAGATGAAGACAGGGAAGCACGACAAGGGTTGGGTCTCGACAGGGAGGTACAGGAATGGGCTCCAAAATTTGAGAGAGAGTGTTCAAAATTTGAAAACAGAAAGAGAGGAATGGAGTACGTGTGTGAGAGAGAGTGTGTGTTGAGAGATTGTGTGTGTTGAGAGAGATGAGAGTGAGATGTTTTTAACCCTCAGATGAAATCAATCTAATGGTCAAAATTTGGACAAATGGACAAAAGTCCCATCCATAGACAAAATTCTGAGCTTCCTTATTATATAGATATATATATATATATTTTTTTTTGTTTGTCTCAAGAGAGAGACGTGATACCACTTGTTCCGAAATAAAATGCATTCCTCTACTTAAATTATATCAGAATTGTAATTCCAGTATAAATTATTTAATTTAATTTTATGATCTAGGTGTTTAGATTGATGGAAAAAAATAAAATAAAATAAGTTGAAGCAAATTATTTTTTTTTATTTTTTTTTTTAAAAATACACTTTTTTATAACGGCTGGACGGCCAGCGAACTGCCAGCCGCTGCCACTCCGATTCATACAACGTGTCACACTCCTATGCGGTGCTGTGTGACAGCTGTTCCGGTGAACCAATCAGACACTGCCACCTATCACACTCTTAATTGCGGGGTACACACGCTCTCAAACCCCATCTCTATAAATACCGAACCCCTCCTCTTTCTCTTCATCACTCGCAACTTTCTCAAGAAACAAACACCTCAGCTTTCTCTCTCTGTTCTTCAACGTTTGAATTTCACTCTTCTACAAGCCCCTCCTTTCTTATCTCTCTTTTAAAATCACTCATGGCGCAAGTTAGCTTGGTCCTCGCCGTCTTCTTCATGGCCGCCGCCACCGTCGTCTCGGCTCAGGATACCGCGATGACTCCGGCACCGTCGCCGGATGCCGGTGCGGCGTTCTCAGTGCCGGTTTCCGGCGCCATTGTTGGTTACTCTCTCGTCATCTCTTTTCTCGCTTTCTTGAGGCATTGAGTGAATTTTGATGTGAGAAATTTTTAGTTGTTTTGTGAGGGTATTTTTTTTTTTGATGAGAGTTGGTTGTTGTATATACAGTAAATAAAATATATTATGATGCAATAAAATTTCTATATTCATTTATTTTATTTGTTAATCCCATTTTCAGTATTTAAATTGATTGCAAATATGTTAATCACTTTCCTCTGTTTTTTTTTTTTATTTATTAATATAATAGATGAACACCAAAAATTTGTTAGCCGGAATATGGGATTTTGACTCGGGGATAATTTTGAGTTGAAATCTTAACAAAATTACAACTTAATTTTCATTTGAATGTCTAAATTATATTTAGAGATATGTTAAAGTTAATCCGCCATTTTTCTTTTTCTGTTATTAGTTTGATTTTCTGTATAATGATCCTCATGATTTAAAAGTGATCACATACCCTCCACAGAAGATGAAAACAAAATTTTAAGTCCTAATTTAGCCTGTGTTTGGCAAGTGGGTTTGCAGGTTTTTTTTGGCTATTTTAGCCACAAAAAACAAAATAAGCTATTTTAGTCATAACAAACAAAACATCACATCTAACCCATAATCATTACATTCTTCTCTCACAAAAAAACTCAAAAAAGTCAAAAAGTCAAAAAGCCCTTCCCAAACCAAGCTTTTAAGCCCAGGTTAAAATAGCCAAAAAAGCCAAAAAGCCAAAAAACCAACCCACTTCCCAAACGGGTAACTTTTTAATTATTTGGTTAAAATATGTGTTAAAAAAATTAGTATATTTGGGATGATTTTTTGACTTTTTACAAAAAGATATGCAAAAAGTAGAGAAAAAATACAATCTTTGACTTTTTGGTATGAATTGTCAACTTTTTAACTAATTTAGCCTCTGTTTGACAAGTTGGTTCTTGGGTTTTTTTTGGCTATTTTAGCCACAAAAGACAAAATAGGCTATTTTAGCCATAACAAACAAAACATCACATCCAACCTATAATCATTACATTCTTCTCTCATAAAAAAACTCAAAAAAGCCAAAAAGCCCTTCTCAAACCAAGCTTTTAAGCCCAGGCTAAAAAAGTCAAAAAGTCAAAAAGCCAACCCACTTCCCAAACGAAGGCTTAGGATGGATATATACACACAAAAGGAGATATAGAGAAGGCAGAGAAAGAATATAAAAAATAATATTAAAATTTTTAAAATTTCTATTAAAATTTTTATCAAATATCTTATATCATGTGGATTTTATGTCAGTTCATATTAATGTGAGATATTTGATAGAAATTTTAGAATTTTTTAACATTTTTGGAATATAAAATCTATCAAAGAAGATTTTAGTATAATTAAATATTTAGGTTCCATTCGAATTTATGGAATTGAAATGAATAATTTGACATTAATATTTTGACGAGTAGCATAGCTGGATGTTTTGAGAAGATAATTAAAAAAAAAATTTTTATTCTTTTAACTTTTTATATGAGAAATAATGTGATTCAAAAAAAAGTTAAATGTTGACTTTTGACTTTTTATTCATGTTCCCAAATAGCCCTAATATCTAAGATGTAGAATAAATTTGAAAGTTTCAAAATCATGAATTTCAAGGATTTTAACAAAATATATAAAACATACATCTATTCAATCTTCTACTTTAGGGTCATGTTTGATTCACAAGATTAAGGACTGGTTTGGCATAGACTATATAATCCATCTTTTTATCTTTTTATTTTTTTTTCATCACATCACCTCTCTACTTTTCTGCACATCTTTTCGTAAAAAGACAAAAAGTACACTTTTTTAGGACACCCCAAACCAACCCTAATAGTGAAGTATTAATAATCCTATTAAATTAGTGTGGTATTCACTATCCAATTGGATTAATATTCATTGGATTAATAATCTCACCCCTACCCCATTACTAATAATCCTACAAATTTGTTGGATTAATTATCCATAGGATTAATAATCTCACCCCTACCCCATTACTAATAATCCTACAAATTTGTTGGATTAATTATCCATTGGATTAATAATTCTAAACCAAAGTGTTAAAACAAACATAGGATAATTAGGCCCACGGATTAATAATCTCAATTCCATCCTCTAATCCACCCAATCAAACATGCCCTAGAGTTATCATCTATTTTCAATAATTAATTTTTTATACATTTATAAAATTCAACCTCAAATCTTTCATTTGTTTATAAAATACTTCATTCATGTTCGAATTGAATTTGAAATGGTTGAAAAAATTAAATAAATTTGTACTTTATTATGGAAAACAGACAAATAAAATGAAATTTTAATTTTTTTTAATTTGGTGTAATGAGAAAGTGTGTTTAAAGTGTTAAATCTGTTGCATATATAGAAATTTGGTCTCGCACACCTTTACAATTTTTTTATTTTATATCGTATTCTGTTTATTTTTTAGTTTTTTGTGTGTATATTTTGTATGAACTTTAAAATGTTTTCTGTGCGGGGGTGATTTTCGCACTATGAAGAAGGGTTGAACTTCGTGGATGAACACCGTGCTCCGGGAATTGAAGATCTGCACAGAGTAACAAACGGTGAGGCTGCCCGACCGGGGTTTGGTCGGAAACCCCTCCGATGGTAAAGTCAGGGACTCAGGGAGGGAAAAAGAGAGAATACAAAGAGTATATGTGTTGAGTGTGTCCATTTTTTGGATCCCTTCAGAGTGAATAGTGTTCACCTTTTATAGGAGAAGGTTGTTTGTCGTTCAAGTCCTTCTCTTTCCGCCATCTGTCCAACGTGTCTTATTCGTGGTCGTCTCCTATTGGAGGAGGACGACCACTCCGCCTGACACTCGGGTGCAGGTCTGTTTGAAGCAACACTATTCACCAATATGTTGCTCAACCCACTTCGGAGTGGTTCTGTCCATCCAGAAGGTCCAATATGTTGCTCAACCCACTTCGGAGTGGTTCTGTCCATCCAGAAGGTCCAATATGTTGCTCAACCCACTTCGGAGTGGTTCTGTCCATCCAGAAGGTCCAATATGTTGCTCAACCCACTTCGGAGTGGTTCTGTCCATCCAGAAGGTCCAATATGTTGCTCAACCCACTTCGGAGTGGTTCTGTCCATCCAGAAGGTCCAATATGTTGCTCAACCCACTTCGGAGTGGTTCTGTCCATCCAGAAGGTCCAATATGTTGCTCAACCCACTTCGGAGTGGTTCTGTCCATCCAGAAGGTCCAATATGTTGCTCAACCCACTTCGGAGTGGTTCTGTCCATCCAGAAGGTCCACCATGTTGCTCGGCCCACTTTGGAGTGACGCTCGTACATTGGGCCGAACTCCTATGATTGACTTACTTCGGAGCAAGTGTTGGCCATAGGGCCGAGGTCCGACCTAGCTCCACCTTGGAGTGAGTATTGCATTGGGCCTAGCACCAAGACTTGATTAATTTTTACCCACTTCATTTTCTTTAATGTTTTGTATCAGTTTTTAATAAATTTTATATTTTTAGAATACTCTTTGCAAGAATTTTCAAAAAAAAAAAAATCCATATTGAATTTTCAAACAAAGTTTCGCATAACAATTAAATCCAACTATTTAAGACAAATACAAGATTATATCTAGCAAGACAAATACATATATGAAATTATTTTACCTTCAGAGAAGAGATGATGATATAACTTATCCCAAGATAACTTTTTGTTGCAAAATTTTCAAAATGCTTCATCCAGATAAATTATCTTGGAATTGTTATTTCGATATAAATGATCTAAAATATTATTATTATTATTTTTGAGAATCGATTCTCTCCCAGTAGACATCCAATTGAATAGATCATGTTTGATTTCAATACGCTCATTTCGAGACCTATCTTAACAAATATTCAAAAAATTAAGATAGTGTTTGGTAGAGTTTTAGAATTATAGTTTTAAAATAAAGTTGTATTTTGAGTTTGTGAGTTTTGGAAAGAGAAAATCTGTTTGATTATGAGTTTTGAAAAGAGTTTTAAATTTTTGATGTGACATATGAAATGAAAAAAATTATTTGATTATGAATTTTGAAAAGAATTTTTAAAATTTAATTCCAAAACTTGTAACTTATAACCAAACATACAACTTAAAACTCTATTAAAAATTCTATTCAAAA